CATCTGCGAACCTATGATGGCTTAGGTGTACCCGATCGATGTTTAGACTTCTATTTTGCCATTCTAATTTCTTAAAGACGTTTTCCAGTGCCAGTGCAAATAACTTGGGAGAGATGGTATATTCTTGTCTCACGCCCTTGCCGAGTGGTATTTTTTTCTATTTTGAGGTCATCATCTAATTTAACTTGGAAAGTTACATTATCATAGATATTTTTAATAATGGGATACATACTGTATGGAATCGATTCTCGCGTCCTCCATTGCAGTTTGAAATGGCCAGGTTTCGATGCTGTCAAAGTCTTTTCGTAGTCTACAAAGGCCAAATGTAGCGGTGTCCGAAGATTGTTCTTACTTAAATCAAGAAAAATCTACAATTTTTCACGGTCAAAGGTCCAGAGAAACTTCTTCGAGTGTCTTAGACCGTTGGGGGATTTCCATTCCAGGTTACAGATGGAGTCTTCCTCATGGAGTTACGCATGGATGTTCTTGAGTTCCGCTTTGAGTTAGTTTCAACTTGGGAAGCAGAGCGGTTCTGGTTCAGTTAGTGGAGTGTTCGCTCCTTTTATAGCTAGATCGCATCGTTTGCTTTTTTTTAAGGTAATGACCTTCTATCTCTACGTGAGCTGGAAACCAGAGTTGGAGGACTAGATTTTTTTCTTGGCCTAATTTATTCACCTTCTCTAGGCCTTCGTTGGCCATCTTCGAATTGAGGGATGCTGAGTTGATCGTTTTTTAGTAAGTTTTTTCTTCATAGATTTGTCATTTTATTACATCACCATAAAACATTTCATTCTCTCTCAGTCGTGATTCCAATAGGACCAATTACAATTACAACGTAATAACAGACAAACCGAAAGCACAGAAAATATAAACTAAATAAATAAATGATAATAATCGTAACACGGTTGTTCGATGATTCGTGCAACAATACTTAAAACCTAGTGTTACTCTAATAAACTCTAGCTTTAATTACACTTTGTTGTGTTCTGATCTTAATGCCCCGATTTGGTTTCTAACGATTTAAAATTAGAACCCTATACGAGCGCAGACGATTAAGTTTATATTAATGTTCGCGGCATAGAAGGGAGGCGTGACCGACCTTTTGGGAGCCAGATGAAATGTAATTAATTTTCGAATAGTTCTATAAAACACTGTCTGATTATCTATTTTATATTTTTTTTTTGGCCAGAGTAGGTGCCTCCTCCTAGGTGCCTTCTCTGTTAAGGTTGGCGATTAATATGACATATGACTCTCTGTCCAGAGCTTGGTGAATAAGGGTGTTTCCGTTGGTGTGGGCCCAATGTCTTATATTACGTAGCCATGATTTCTTTTTCCTCCCTATGCTACGTTTTCCATTTTTCGATTGTTTTTTTCTATTATGAGCTGCATTTTTTCATATTCTGAATGCCGCATTGTGTGTCCAAGGTAGGAGTCTTATTTATTTTAATTGTGCCTGTTAGGTGTGCACGAGTTTTCATTCTGTTTAAAACTTCACAGTTTGTTGTTCTGGAGATCCAAATTATCCTCAGCATCTGACGATACGTCCACTTTTCTAAAGTATTAAGGCGTTTGATGTCTTCTTCTTTTAGCATCCATGTTTCGCATCCATATTGAAGCAGGAGCCATATATAACATTTTACATATAGCTATTTTCGGATGACATAAGAGTAGTACAGGCCAATTAGAGTACAGAGTAGTACATATTTGGTTAGAGTAGTTCATTGTTGTATTTTTCTGATATTGTAGAATGTATAGGAGGGATAGTTAATCACCGCGACCTTACAGATCTATTATGTCCCTCTTTCTTGAGTTATAACTCATCATAGAGTCTCAAAGCTTTGAGAAAAGCTGGTATCTGAGACAGTTTTAGAGAGGTTAGTTCTCCATCTCCTATATCAGTCGTACCAAAGTTTATAGCACAAATGGTTGTCGTCTTGATGCACTCAGTGATGAGATAGTTTGGTATTTCCCCATTTTCCCCACAGAATCTACATTCGCCGTTGTTTTAATCTACTGAGGTATTCATTGAGAAGATAGTATCTTGTTAAAAACCCCGTGAAAATACGAAGATTGTTCTTACTTTAATCAAGGGAAATCTTTGATTTTTCTCGATAGTAAGTTCTGAAAAATTTCTTCGAGTGTCTTAGACCATTTGAGATTCCCATTCTAGGTTACAGATCGAGTCTTCCAGGTTCTTGAGTTCTGCTTTAAGAAATACTTTTTATATTTGTGGACGCCATCGTCAAGGTCGGTTCAGAGAAGAACCCTTGATGATTATTTCTCATGTTTCAAAAAACGTTTCCTGGGGACGCCAACAATAGTATTTTTTGTTTACTAATTTTGATACACTATTGCAATCGTGGAGGCTCCTTCCATGTCCCCCAAAATGTGGAGCATTTGCTGTCATGTATAAGATGCCCTCATACATGTACCCTTGAAAATTTATGGACTAATGGACTAAAGAATTTTAAATTATAATTGTACATTATGTACCTATATGGTCCGGATACGAAAAAGTAAGTCCGCTTTAAGTTAGTTTCAATTTGGGAAGCAGAGCGGTTCTGGTCCAGTTAGTGGAGTGTATACACTCCTTTTTTAGCTAGATCGTTTACTTTTTCATTGCTTTTTATCCTTTGGGGGGCAGGATTCCAGAGTAGGAGGACTTTATTTTCTTTGCCTAATTTGTTCAGCTTCTCTAGGCATTCTTTGACCAACTTCGCATTGATAGTTACTGAGTTGATCGCTTTTAATGCTGCTTGACTACCGAATAAGATGGCGATTTCTTGTTTCCTATAGGTCTTATCTAAGATAAGTTGTACGCATCTTTCGATAGCGTATAGCTGTCTGAAGAATGACGTGGTAAGTGCCCATTAGTTCTCAGTATTTAGTTTTATAAACTTAAACTTTTACTGTTTAATAAAAGTTAAAAACCACAACAACCACTCCTACAAGTTATATAAGTTTAGCAATGTATTATTAGTAGTTTTATCTAATAGGTTTCTCGTTATATTTCGCCCTATATGGGCGAATTTAATTACTATCATTTATAACAATACCAGTTAATCTGATCCGTGAAGAGCATGGCTGGGAGGTGTACCATATTTCAGTACTACCTATTAGACCATAAATTGTAGCTGCCATAAACCGTCCACGGTATAATTTGTACCTTTTTATCATTGTTAGGTTTTAGTTCAATTTGTTTTTCAAATTACTTATTAAGAATTCATTAATTAGACATATTCAGATACATTAAAATTATTAATTTTAAGAAGTTAATGGAGATTTGGCTGATTTTATGACTATACAAAAAATATAAGTAAATAGACAAATTTTAATATTATATTTTTGAAATGGAACTTCTTTACGCGCGCAGGGTGTAAAAATTCAACGCCGTGACACACGAGCTAGCGAGATGACACGCGGGACGAGAAGTGGTAACGATCGAGAAAGTGGTAAGCCAATGAGGAAGCTGAGATGGGTCTTGAAGCGTCGTAACTCGGGCCCTATTTGAGCTAGAGGATCAAAATTGAATGTAGATGGGGCTCGAGAAGCCCTATATTTTCATGATATATTGCTGACGTTTCGCACACTATGAAACCTCAACACCAATGGCGAAAATATCGTCCGATTTAAATGAAATTTGGTAGGTCGATAGACTGAACCAAGCCCAACTTAACCGTGAACGACTCGTGTCACTGTGACAGTTAGTTTTGACGTAAAAAACGTCAAAAGTTAATGTCATCCGATCGCGATCAAATTTGGTGTGTAGGCTATATGAGAGACGGTGCACACGGCCCCACCCTGCAAAATTGGATACGACGTTTCGTTTACATCTTCGTCAGGGTGGGACTAAGGATTTGATATTGAAGAAAAATATGGGTCAATTTCGGCATAATTGGGGACGGGCTAGAAGATGACGCCCTCGACGTTTCGAATGGATGACTCTAAATGGACAAAATCATCAGGATTTTTACTGAATGAATACTACAAATACGTAGCGATAGACTTTTTATTATATAAATTTGTGTATTAATTTATATGATATAATTGAGTGATAAAATTTAAGTGAAGATGCAGTCGACAATCACCACACAGGCTAATAAAACTACTTTTTCAAATTTGTCAAGCTTTCGAGAATTTTATTCCCATCATCAGGACAGTTTGACTGAGCCAATTAGCAAAAACAACATCCTCTGCACAAAAAGGCCTTAAAACTAGCATCATATGACATTGGATTAAAAGGAAATTTCCTTTATAAAATATTAAAATACATATCCAACAACACTACTTTTTAAAACATAAAAAAGTAAAAAAAAAATTAAAAATCGTAAATTAAAAAAAGAATGTTTTAAAAAGTAGTGTCGTTGGATATGTATTTTAATATTTTATAAAGGAAATTTCCTTTTAATCCAATGTCATATGATGCTAGTTTTAAGGCCTTTTTGTGCAGAGGATGTTATTTTTGCTAATTAACTCAGTCAAACTATCCTGATGATGGGAATAAAACTCTCGAAATCTTGACAAATTTGAAAAAGTTGTTTTATTAGCCTAAATGGTGATTATTGACTGCATCCTCACTTAAATTTTGAGTATTTTTTAATTGAGTAACTATATTATTAACAAATTGGTGTTTTAGTTCAAGGCTTAGCAGACATAGCAAGTAATAGATACATACTGCCATTACTCGCTGAAAATTTGTAATAATATCAAGTCGCAGTTTTTGAGATAAAAAAAATATCAAGTATGGGCGGCTATACGTGCCTCCCGGCGCCATTTTTTTTCTAATAAGAAAATATTATGTTGCACCAATAAGTAAATAAGAGAATAACATTAAATAAGAGAATAACAGTTGGGTTGGACCCTGTGTTGTTACAATAGCAAAATAAGACACTAATTCACAATAAAACACTACCTTTACTTCATTTTTAGTTAACATTGTTATTATTAGAACTCCATCCTTAATATAATTCTGTACTAATATTGATTTCTTTCTATTTCAGCTGTACGAAATCAGCGACGACCCAAAAAGAAAGGAATTCCTCGACGATCTTTTCTCTTTTATGCAGAAACGTGGTAAGCAAGAATATTTTATTGCGTCTACAAGGCCCTTAAAATAAGTTACGGTTGTTTTGGTACAGTTATTTTAGGGGCTTCCTTCTTAGAATCACCAATTTTATCTGTAGGGCCAAAAGACCTTCTTGCCTGGGCTGTTAATCCAAGCAAATTTTAATACCTCACAACGGGGATTATACGAATTTTTAATCTTTGAGTACGTTTACAAAACGCTTCAAACAATATTTACTCATTGTCAGTTTAGAAAGTCGAATTAAAATTTTAATAATATACTATTGCGAGTTAATAAATACTTATTATCTAACATGAACAAAAATAAACAAGAAGATTAACAATAATAATTATAACGTAAAAATGCTAGATTTCTTTGGCTTAAAACCTACATTCTGGCATTTTAAAAAGCGACGAGTTTGTGATATTTTGATATGTCAGTCTTTTCCTTTAATTCTAGCATCATATCATGCTGTACGTAGCCCAAAGAGTAGATGGCTTTTTCTGCCTTGCCATGTCGCTAAAATATGCCATCAAGACTGTCTCCGAAGCAATATTCTTACCATTTCTTTCGGCACACCATTTTTCGTATACTTTCAATGCAATTTTATATCGCCCCCTACTTTTCTCTGGAAGTAAACTGGCTTCTGCTCTTTTTGCAGCTTCTGTAAGTTCTGGTGGAGTACCACTATTAAAGTAGTCTTCATTATCAGAACCTTCCGACAACATTCTGGCTTTCTATGTTATATAAATTCGAAAAAGCGAACGAGAAATTCAAAACTGTCACTTAGTTGTTTGTTTTGCTGTTCAAGGTTTGCGGCATAACAACCACTGGTACCGGTAACTATAGATATGGAAATGCCAAAACAGAACACGACAAATTTTCGCATATTTTTTTTTTCAAAATAAAATACTGTCCCTACTTTTTTAATTAACGATGTGGTTGTAAATAAAATAGTATACAAACCTCTGAGGAAAGTTTTCATTATTGTCTCGAGATTTAATTAATCTCTCGACAGTAATGAAACACTTCCCTCCAATCGGTATGTAATGTACTATTGCACTGAGGTTCGTTCAGTGACGTAATTGAGTACTAAGAAGCGTTTTTTGGAAATTCATTACCGTAGGAGGTAAAATTAAGGATGAGAGAATGAACAAAAACTTGTGAAAAATTATTCTAGTAGTATGAAATTTTGCAAAGACTAACTGGGCACTAAGAAGCGATTTTTGAAAATTCGTACCATAAGGGTATGAAATTAGGAAATATTTTATAATTTTTTAAGAATCTGTTTAAGAAGTATGAAATTTTGACAAAAGTTCTTTAAGTAACGCAGCTCAGCACTATAGAGCGATTCTTGAAAATTCATCCTCTATAAAGCTTCGTTCAGAACCTCGCAATTAGTGGAATAAATTAGTGGTTTCAATTAGCGTAGAAGTTTGTTTCTCTAATTTCAATGCAAGCATTCAAAACGTCAAAACTAGTGGTAGACATTTTCAATTAGTAGAAAAAGTTATCAACCTTTTAATTTTTCCACTAATTGTACTTCAAAATTTGCGAGAAATGTCATTTTGGCCTTTGATTATCTTCCGTCAAGAGAAATTTTGGTTAGAAATCAAAAGTTGATTGTTTTATAAGCTAAACAGGCTTTCTCCATGGATATAACTAATGGACTAACGCAAGCTGTTGCCAGGATATTTTATTAATTTTAATGAGGAAAATGCATGTTTTTAAATAATGGTTTTAAAAAATAGTTCATATAATTACAAATTGAACAAAAAAAAAATCGTTGATATCGGTTAAGAAATGCCTCCAATATAAAATAATTAAATATTGTTAATTTAAATGGCCGGGCAAACGCTCTCTACCGCGCCTTGCCGCTGTGACGTCACCCGCCGTTCTTCTGGTTGAGTGGAGCCAGACGCGTGTTTATTTTACACAGTTTGCTTTTAAACGCTGTTGAATCCGTGTCAAAATTTTAGTTATTTGTGTTAATTAATACATAATTAGTAATTAGTGATATTTATAAATAGTAATGGATGAGCGAAAACAGAAAAAAATACTTCAAGGCCATGAGAAGAGATGAAAAGAAAAACGTTAAATTATCCTCTATTTTTACGATTTATTGTTGTGAAGATCATTTTGATGTAAGTTCATATATTTATGTATATTGTCTTACATAGGTATATGAAATTTGAATGTACAGGGTTATTCATTATATTTTGACACCCACATACAGCCTTAACTGCAAGTTTTAGAAGAAAACATTAAATAAAAAAGTTGCATGATTTTTCATATACTCTCTTTTAAAATTAATTCTAGTTATACAGGGTGTTTCAAAAAAGGTGGTCCAGAAAATTGTAGGTATTTTTCGCTTTTCAACTGTCAATATTTCGTAAACATTTGAAGATAGGTATAGGATATTACACATGAAATATATCTAGAATATCTAGAAATTTCCGAAGAATCCAAAAATATATAGTGTGTTTCACTTAAAAAAACTTAATTTTGGCGTTTGCTTATGGGACACCTTGTATAATATTTTCATTAATGATACACAATTTATTTCCTATAATTTCGTAAAAAAAACAATCTTTAAAAATAACAAGGGTAAGGGGATGTCAATATATAAAAAAAAACTTTCTTTTTCACGCTATGCTCTGGAGTTATTTTTCCACGTACTAAAGAAATATTTTTGTCTCTTTTCACTTCTACATAACCTACAGCATTATCTCCATACGTCTCCCTACCTGATCTGAAAAATAAGTTTATAACATTAATTTATAACTATATAAAAGTTCCTAACAGTAGGTACCTACTTATACTTAAATATGCCTCAGTACTACAAAGAATAAATGTTACATACCTCTCTGTTTTTTTCCTCGTAATTCAGCACCAATAAATTGGGAATTTGTATTTATGAAAGCAGCCAACATAAAAGCATCGACTTTTGGCGATCTGTTATCTGATTGTGCTTTTACAAACCCTGAATCTGCCATTACTTAAAAAATTCTCAGAACACACAACACATACAAATACTAACTGCAGAAAAAAGCATAAAAAACTCCTTCAATCAACGCTAAAAGCAACAAAAATGTCTTAGTACGCCACCTAAGTACGTACATAAACGGAACACGTCTGGCTGCTGCTGGCCATCGTGCGTCGACGAGAACGGCGGGTGACGTCAGACCAATAGAATATCGTTTCAATTCGCGAGGCGTCGTTTGCGTTATCCATAGTATTTTAATGGCCCATTTTATAAAATTGTGGTACTGCTTTCAAGAAAAAAGTTTTTTTTTGCATTTATACATATATTTATTCTAATAAATTGAACAGTTTCTGGCGAAAAATAAAATATATGCATCTTCCTCATTGTGTTTTTTAAACATTGTGAATGATCGTAAACTAAAAAGTATAAAGTGTAATTGAAACCACTAATTTATTCCACTAATTGCGAGGTTCTGACAGTGGCGTAGCTAGGTAACCAAGGGCCCTGGGGCAAATTAAAAATGGGGCTCCACTGCTATATAAACTGATTAGGTTTTATCAAATAAAAATTTAAAATATACAAATACTTTAAAAATGCTACTCGTAAGCTACTTAAGCTCTTTTTTGTGCACTGCAGGGCAGATAATAACAATTTTAAACAGTAACAACATAAATTACAATTAATACGTGGTGTAGGTTTGGCTAATAAAACGAAATAGAGAAGATTCAATTCAAGGGTTTATTATATAAAGGTCGGGCCTACCAACTGACTAAATAACAATTATATTTACAATTTTTTCCTAGCTTTAGTTTTCGCAAAAGTATCAATGACTTTGTTTAAATCTAGGCTTGATGCGGTTTTGTTTTCAATTGCTATTAGCGATAAATGTCGGAGTCGAATTTGGCCCATATTATTTCTTAAATAATTCTTTATATTTTTACAAAGGGTTAGGTCGCATTCTAGCACTCCATATTTGCTCATTATTTCCTTACATAATTGGTGAACAGTCCATGCTTGAGTTAGTTGAGGTAAAACTAAGTGGTAAATATTGGTAAATTGAAGTGAAAAACTAGGGACTATTATATCTGAATATTTTCTTTGGAATTCGTCACACTTTTGTAATAAAGTTGCTTCATCAACATGTAATAAAAATCGAATATATGACAGACTGCACTCATACCAATAAAACGTGTATCTAATTGAGATATTAACTTTTCATTGCCTTTTTTCTTGAAAATGGGTATCAATACCATATTTTCTTGCAGTTTCACTGGCTTTGCACTTGAATAATTCGAAATAATTTCTATAAATTTGCAACTTTGCTTTGGTCTCTTCTAAAAATTAATGTTGGTGAAAAGTGGGGTTGCAATCAATTTCCAAAAGTTCAGTTCGATCGGGATTTCTGGTAAGAATTCTAGGGTCCCCTGAGCTTCAGGGCCTCGGGGCACTGCCCCGCCTAGCCCCTAGGTAGCTACGCCACTGGGTTCTGAATGAAGCTTTTTAAGTTTTGCCACTAGTCATTTTGGCCTTTGATTATCACCCGTCAAAAGAAATTGTGATGTTGAAATAAAAAGTTTAATGTGTTGCTAAGATATTCTATTAATTTTAATTTTATTTTTTAGACATTGTGAAGGATGTGAAGGATCATGACTTTTAAAGTATTAATTTATTAAAAGTATAATTAAAGAAACCACCAATTTATTCCACTAATTTCGAGATTCTGAATCAATTAAATTATTTAAAAACTGTGAATTGCTAATTTTATTTCAATGTGAAAATATGGCAGGTAGTGATTTTTAGTTCATCCCCAAAATTTACCATTACTTACTGATTATAGATGATTTATAGGTCAGTTTAAATGTCAAATCGCAAGACATGTATTAACAAGCAATTCGACCGGAAATAGTTTTCTTTTATGTGCTCCTACTATCTTGTCGCCAAATGTGTCTCTCGTTTATATATCCATTTCTACAATACAGTACTATTCGTAACCGTCCCTCTATTTCCAATTATTTAGAAAAG